GTGTACATCTCCAATTCTATCTGTCCCTCAGACAATCCGTATGTAGATCAATCTTTCTGCGTGGGTGTTTGAAAAGAGATATCCACACCCATACCCTAGTAGAGACGAGAGAAAAGAGCCAAACAAGGGAAAGAAAAATAAGAATAGGAGAGAAGATAAATATTGAAAAAATAAATGAGAAAAGAGACAGACACATGAAACAAATGAGTAAACAATAAATAAAGCAATAGTGGTAAGTTCAAGGACTCACGATAGACGAATGTTGTAATGAATGGAAACATCAAAAAAGAAGGTAGCTGATTAGAATCGTAACAAAAAGTAGAAGTATAATATTGAAAACCGATCACAGAAAAAAACAGACTGACCTGCATTTAATTCAATACAAATCAGTCTGTGATAGAGTGAGAAAACAGTATTGAATTTCTTATTGTTTTACTACATATCATTGTCGTTTTCTCAAGTTGTCCGAAATTACAATGGAATTTAATGATTGTTAATAGTTTTTTTAAACTTACTGTGAGATGAAACGTCGTAAAGTTGATACTTTATTCGTTGACTTGTTAACAGTTATTCTTTATATTGCAAAAAAATAATAAATGATGAATGTGTCGGAGAATATTGTGTTGTATTCTGCGCCAAACATCAATTGATAGTATTTCAAAAGATATAGTAGCTTATATACACGCCATCGTCCTATTTACTGAGTATTTCTTTTCTCTTTCTTCTGCTGAGTTTTTTCCCACCAAAAGTCAATATTTTTGTTCGAGCGATATCGTTCGAATACATCACATATTTTCTTTGCTCTTTTATATCATTTTCCCGTTTTCTTTTGATCCTTCTTTGAGGGTGTGGGTGTGAGTGTGGGTGTGGGTGAGAGTTTGGGTGTGGGTGTGAGTGTGAGTGTGGGTGTGAGTGTGAGTGTGAGTGTGGGTGTGAGTGTGGGTGTGAGTGTGGGTGTGGGTGTGAGGGTGTGGATGTGGGTGGGTGTGGGTGTGTGTTTTACCTTTTATCACACACACCCATACCCACACCCAAACTCACACCCACACCTACACCCAAACTCATACCCACACCCCAAACCCCACACCCAAGCTCACACCCACATCCAGACTCACACCCAAACTCACACTCACACCCCAAACCCCACACCCGACATCCACACCCACACACCAAATTCTCTCTATAGAATATATAAATGATAAAATGGCATAATAGATCTATTCGCTCTATATCAATAAAAGAAAACTACTTATTATAGATCATTATAATTAACATTTATTTATTTAATATAAAATGATTATTATAGATATATTTATTAGTTTTATAAATTTAATTAATTAAAATCAAACCAATAATATATACATATTACTGATAGTTTAAAAGAGAACATTGATATGAAAAATTCTAAATCATATAAATAGGATTGAATTTTATTTAACAAATAAGAATTTTTGAGCTTCCCTAGTTAGAACAAACATCATCATCACCGTTTTAAAAACATCATTTGTCATCTTCTCTACTTTTACTCTATTTTAATAAATAGCATTGAATAGTTAAAGTATTTTTTAAATAGATGTATTAGATTTTAAATAATAAAAATTCTTTTTACAAATATTGATTATTTTCAAACAATTATTCAATAAAGATGACGTTTTTCTTTTCTTTCTAACAAATGAATTTATACTATTCATAGTCAAAATAATTGTAAATTTATTCAAATAGAATCAAGAATAAATATATTATTATAAATACAATATCAATTATCAATAACTCGCAAACAATTCATCGAGATCATATCCCTCCAAGAATATTATAGATAGAATTTTTTTCCAATTTTAACAATTATCACACCAGTCAAAAACTACACTTTTCAATCAGACAAATTAAACTCATCGAAAACACATTTACTAATTTTCCTAAACATTTTAAATACATCAATGTCAAATAATTCATGGGCAACAACTTGTCATGACGACAGATATTCATTCTTCTCATACTTCTTTTTATTATGTATTCACTTCGAACGATATATTTTTCCTAAAAACAACAAACAATAAATAATTTTCATTTTCTCATCATCATCATACCAACTGTCACTCTTTAATGCATTTATTCATAAGATCCATACAAAAATAAAATCGAAATAAAATACATGATTCCTCAACCATTATCGATGCGACAAGTAGTTTCTATTATTCTATTTTGTTTAGTTATATTTATTTTAATTGTTTTATTTTTACTTCAATCTTCTCAATGTTTAAAATGTTCATCATATTATTTTCAAAATATATCATCAACAGCAAAGACATTTTACAAAGTAATAAATAATACAGAAGATGAAAAACTATCAATTGATCATTATTCCATATTGTGTCTTGATATGGGATATCGTTTTGATAACGAACAATATTTACCTGAATCACCTTTACTTAAAGTTCCATCAATTAATTCAACAAGACTTTATCGTTTGCCTTATTGTTATTCTCAATGGAAATCTTCTCCTAATCTTTCTCGTAGTTTAACTTCATGTGAACATTCATTAGTTATGCGTTTATTAATGATTATTGAACGAATATGTCGAAAAAATAATATAACATTTATGTTAATGTATGGATCATTATTAGGTTCATATAGACATCATGATATAATACCATGGGATGATGATATTGATATAATTATACCTATTGAAGAACATCAACGTTTTATTCATATTATTAATCAAATGAATAAAACATTAGTACAACATTATGTTTTATTAAATGGAGCAGGAAAACTAAAATATTCTAAAGTCTTTTTTAAAAATACTCCATCAGCTGGAGGTTATTCATGGAATTTTCCATTTATTGACATTTTTTTCTATATTACAAATGAAACACATTTATGGGAAACGACTAATCCTGATAATATTATAAAAAAAGAATATATTTTTCCATTAATAATGAGACCATTTGGAGAATTATGGTTACCTGCACCACGAAAACCTGAAAAATTTTTTAATTTTGATCCATATGATAATTGCATAGGACATTTTTGGAATCATCGATATGAAATAGGACAAGAACAACTTTCAACTAAATGTAATCATCTTAAACATATTTATCCCTTTGTTGAACGACATAATCAATCAAATTCAATTGAAATTTTAAGAACAAATCATACTATTATTCATACTATTTTTTATAACTAATTACTTTTCTTTTTTTTTTGATTCAATTTGTCAAGGAAATTTTTAGTAACAAAATAAAATTAAGAAATATATTTATCTTGAAATCGAATAGAAATTAAATTTGTTTCTATATCATTTCGATCATGATTCACATAAAAAAATTTTTTAAATCAAGAACAATTCAATTTATAATTATTTATTTAACATAAACTAATCAAACTATGATAAAATTCTATATGAATTATAGTTCAAGGTTAGTTTTCTTTTATATTAAATGATAGGAGATTTTACTGGTAATCGATAGTGACCACATAAATAAATAAATAAACTTAATGTTTGTCCTTTTTTTTTATTGTACAAGCAGTATGTTGTCGTAACAAAAAAATTAGACAAATTTTTTTTTTTACAATGATAATATGCTAACTATAAGATAATGGAATGCTTTCGGACGCTATTAAAAGCAATAAAAAAATTGAAAGCCTTCGATGTCGAGAGGTAAGTTTCTCTTTCAATGATTTTTTTTTGTTTGTGTTGTGTCATGATAAATTTATTTGTGCAGTATCGCTTAAGTAAAAGAGTAAACTACTCATACGTATGTGAATATGTTTTTTATCTTTTTATTAAAGTGTTGTTTTGATTAATTGTCTATTTATTTGAAAGTCGTACAATTTGATCATACTGCTAGAAGAGAAATTAGAATTCAGAGAAGAAAAATATTTTATTTCATGATTTTTAGTTTTCAAATGAGTGTATCTGTAAAATATTTTTTTGAAAAGCCAACATATATTTCTTGCAGGGAATAAGGTTCACATGTGAACACGCACTTTGTTAGTAATCATCGATGAATATTCAGTTCTGTGCAGAGAAGCCAATCTAAATCAAAGTTTTTCTTGTTCATTTGCTCAAGCTACTGATATACATAACATTAGTCTCATACTCGTCACATCTGTCATTATTGTATGCCACAATAACGTGCCTTACTCATATTGAATAAAAAAAGATTTGTACTCACGAGGGAACATTCCCAAGTGTCACATCGCTTTTGAGTCGAGCGTATGTGCATCATGTAGACCCTAA